GCGTATAAAATTAAGTAGAACCACTGTGTTAAACCCATTTGTAAAATAAGGACAATGGTTCTTACCTTATAAATTCTGGGGCTGAATAAGTAAACACGAATACCGTTTAAAACTGTGTCCACCATATAGTAAGAACAAAGTAAACACTAGCTAGTATTATGCATTTTTACCTAAAGATGATATTATTATTATTATTATTATTATTATTATTATTTTTGGTCTTTTTGAGACAGGTCTCTCTGTATCCCCAGCTGTCCCAGAACTCACTATGTAGACCAGACTGCCCTTAAACTCACAGAGTTCTCTTATTATTGATACACATACACACGTTTTTAATTCTAGACTATTTGCTCAAATGATTCTGACTTTAGTCATTGACTAAAGTGACTCTTGCGCCTTTTGATGTATCCTATTATATGGGGGCGCTTTTTCCTCTCTCTTTGTAAAAAGAATTAATTACTTCATAATATTACAAGATATCCTAGGCCCATCTTGTATCTTTACTTGACTAGTCCTAGAATCAGCCACTTTTCTGAGGATCCTTGGATGTTTTCCTCGAGAATGAGATTAGAACTATGAATTTTGGGCATTAGCTTTTCTGGTTGCTGTTCCTTTCAACCTCTCTCAGCTGCCAGAGCTTGGCATCTATGTACATGCATATTACATAAATAGGTCTTTTGTAAGTATGTTTAACTAAATATGAGTTTATAATAACCTAAATGAGTTTATATTGATGCATTCTACCCTAATACAATCATATACAGATCCCTGTTGCTCATTTTCCTTGAGTATCTGTAACCTTCCATTCCATAGTGAATTTTAAATTTCTTTTCTATAATATATCAATTTTTATTAGAAAACTGTATAAATGAAGAAAGAAGGGTGTAGTTTTGAGAAACTAATATTAAATGGCATTAGGGATTATTAGAAAGAAAAATTATATGCTAAAAAGAAGAGATATGTGAGGAATATTCCAGATCAATCTACAGAAGCTAATCCTCACCAAAACATCAGTGACTATCAGTCATATGATAATTTCTATAAATGTGATTTAAAATAAAGCTTAATATAAAGCTGAAAGCAGTTGCATTTAGGGAATGATCAGTAACGAAACAATAATAACTAATGTTTATTTCACACAACACTATTTTTATGTCTTGATCAATATCAGCTTTCAATACTTTAAACAAGGTTGAGCATTATTTGGTTGTTATTTTGTAGAATAGGACCCTAGGGGGATACAGACTATTTCTATAATTCTCTTCCAGAATGTTTTGGGTGAGATACTTAATTCTTGGACTGTCAGTTTCATTTTTTATAAGCTTGAATTATATTAACCCACTTGTTCAGGATTGCTATTGGTCAAACTCTGTAAGTCTGCTGTGTTAATCTTGTAATACTGGCTATTGTAATAGGACTCCAAATCTCATAAATTATAAAACAGAAATTTATATCTTGCACAAAAAATAATGTTTGTTGTGGATGTTCCTGAGGACTGGAGGGGAGGCAGAGCAGGAGAACTGGATCCATGTTCATTTATTTTCAACTAGTAACTTCCAAGGTCATCCCTAAAGGTCTCTTCCTAACCAAGCATTAGAAAGGGGGAAAAAGCCTGGAGGAGCACACACCTGGGGGGATTTGATGGCTGGTTTGAGAGTGGCTTGCATCCTTTTGGTATATTCCTCTGTCTAGAACCTAACCTCCAGGAAAGCTTTATGAAGCAGTTGGCTGTGTGTCTGAGAAGAGGAATTCAGTGCAAGGATGAGGGACTACTTTTCTCTCCTTCCTGCTTTCTTTGCCTTGTTCTCTCAAGTCCTCACTGTGCACTCAATCTAACATCTGATCCCCTTCTGACATTTACCTGTGCTTTCTCAGTCAATGCTTTATCAAGCAATGCTGATTGTAGAGTTTACAAAAATGTTCTTTGGTCTTCTTTAGGGATGGCTTTAAGGACTGTGCCTGGGGTTAGGCACAACTGCTTGGGTTTATTAAGTCCCAGAAAGCCGTGGCAGAGAGGGAGACATTTTTAGAGACAAGTTTGATCTTCAATATGTTGGATGTCTCCAGCTGCAGTGACTCAATTAATAAGGATATTTCTTACCTCACAGACATAACAAGATAGTTCAAAGAATGGCAGTTATAGAGCTAGTTACTTCAGAGATTCAAGGTTATCGCAAAGAATCTGGGTCTTTTCCCTCATTCTGCTTTGCCCTTTTGAACTGATGCTTGCTCCCCAGGCAGAACAAGATTCATAGGAAGATGAGACACAGCTTATGTGTCTCTTCTAAGAGCAAAGAAACCTTTCCCAGAAGTCTCCCAGTAGATTTTCTCTTGTCTCATTTCCCACGCCCATGTCTAAATGAATCACTGCTGAGAGAAATGATAACGTTGTAATTGGCTTAGGCTGACCTAGACTCTCACTGGGCCTGGGAATAGAGCCAGCCTCCTCCCTGAGTTTGCGGTCATGTGTGATATTTACCTCAGGTGAGCTTTGTTTTAGATTGCCATTTCTTTAGTAAGAAGCATGGCATGATGTTAGGGGATGTTTTGATGTTTAGCAGCTAACAGTGACTTCTGTGCAGTTTTCTGTATGAAAGAAAATGTTTCCTGAGACTAAGCTTTCTGAATGGA